GATGCATCTTCTTTATGTCTGTGTCTCTGCTCTGACCTTCACAATAACAGAGACGAGTGGCGGCTGGCGAGAGCCGCTGTAATCACCGCACAACACCAGCCACAGATGGAGGCTGGAAATCCCTCTTAATTGTGATAAATACACATCAGAATTGCTTATTTGCCTCCATTCCATGCCGCGTTCGACGCCGGCGAATCAATGGGTGGAATTGGTCCGTCCTTTGTGTGATGGTATAGCTCAGCTTGGGCTGTCTGCCTCTCCAGCATTCAGAGAATATCACCGCTTTGTTTCGCCCATAAACATAAGCATATCTCACACTTAGTGAATTTGAAATAATCACAACCACAGTGCACTGACACTCCTAAGCGTTTAGTGAGATGCTGATATTCATAATTACACATCAAAGGATTCATATAATGAACAGCTACATGTCGAAATGTGATTTAAATAACAAACAAGCCAATTTTTCAAAGTGGAAAATCACTTTTTATGCTTAGTTGACATGAAATACATTGAAGAAGTTGACATGTTCTGCAGTGCGACATGGTGCATTTTGATAATGTTGTTTAAATCATTATGCGTGCACCTTTTATGAGCCTATATTAGGTTAGAAACTACCGATTGTTTAAAATAATCGACGGCGAAAAGATACACTTTCCCTTATACATTCATTCATTCATTTACACGTTTAACCTAAAATGGAAGCGATGTGCATCACGTACAGCATCTTGTTAATGGACCTGTTGATATACAACCCATTAGAGAGACGATACTTTATAATGCAACACCAAATAAACCCCAAGCATTTTACAGAGCCACAGCTCCGGTCTCAATCTATGGACTGCACCGTAGGAGAGGAAATGGAACAATTTAGCACTTTTGTTTGCTCACAGTGAGGGAGGGAGGCATTGCTTTCTTCAACACAAAGCCAACTTTGTGTTTAGTGTTGTGTATAAATTCACGCCAACCAATCTCTCTCGCTCTCTCTCTGTGAATTCTCGTCCAACTCCTTCAGAGTTGCTTCGCCCAAGAGCACAATCCCTCCCTTCCCAACACTTACTACAGCAGGAACCGGCGCTAGTAAACAGCACTGCATTAAAAAAAAAAAAAAAAAAAAAAAAAAAACTCCCAAACCTTCCCTTAGAATTTCAGCCCCAGTGTTATTCAGTTCAACTCTCAAGTGGAGCCACATAACGAATCACAGAGTGCAATTTAGCCCTTCAGAATGCCGTTCGGAAACAGGTGATAAAGGAAGCACTCATGCACTGGCTATGAAGTTTCACCTCCCTCAAAATTAATTCCATCTTCAAGATTCCTATCTCTGTGATATGCTCGGAATGGCACACAAATCGCTCCCGCCAGAAAGATTACTGCAGACTGACTTAGCATAAACATCTCCTGCTGTTATGACTGGCAGGGGGTGGAATATAATTCTAATGTCGTGGCCTATTTGGACGTAGGTGCATTCGTGTAATCTGCGCGTTCCAAGAGTGGGAATCATAAAATAATCGAGCTCGATGAGAGTTTAGTCAAGCTTGCTAAATGATAACCATTCGTAGTCCGGTCAGGCACACATTTGTGTGGAGTTGCACACTACAGTATATGAAACGGGCCGTGTTTACATTGTTAAATGTCACTGGCTCTACGGCTGATATTTTGTACACACACTGCAGGTGAATTATTGCATACAATCTAACATTAGTTTAACAAGCTGTAAGCTGCACGCAGTACGGCGGGAATCAGTGATGCCTAATTTAATAATCATAAGAGCTAAAAAGAAAAAATATATACCTAAACACCTATTGTTTGTATGAGTAAGAACTAGGAATATTCATATATTCATACAACATATGCAATAAATAAGCTTTGATAATAAAGAAAAATACAATAAAACAGCATGCACAAACTGACTAGAGTTAATAAGATCCTGAGAGTAATTTCATAACTGCAGATTGACTTACACCTGTGATCTAACAGCACAAGACAATGCATATGCAATACTCAAAAACAACAGCCTTTAAGCACCAACCTAACTACTCTATATAACATGTAATCATAATAACATTTCAGATCTAGAGCAACCGATTCTTATATTATTTTCAGTACTGCAGATGGTGACATAAATATGCACACTTAATTCTGATTGGATACATGTAAAAGTCCTCAAACCGCCACTTAATGCTTTATGCAATATGCACATATCAAAATAGTCACAATTTCAGATCTATAGATCAAGTAATTTTATAAATTGTAGAATTTAGTGCACCACCTGTCTTCTAAGCACATGCAGTAACAACATTTAATCAAGTACACAATAATTTTTTTTAATCACAATTTCAGCTCTATAAATTCTGACAGCAATTTAATAACTACAGATTTATTTTAGTGGCTTATTTCTTTCATTATAAAGCATTTCTGATATCATGCATTACTTCCTCAAACATCCGCTTTATGCACAATTTCAGATCTATAGATCTGACAAATTAATTTAGTGCACCACCTGTGATTAGAGTAAAAGACACAAAACATCAGTCTTTAACATGCACCCTGTTGATCACAATGTCAAATCTATAGATCAAACTAATTGTGATAGCAATCGTGCACCTGTCATGTAGTGTAAACACCAATCCAATGAAAAGCATTTCAGCTACTCAATTCTAACATACACTTAACTTGTCTTTGTCTTGTGATCAACTTCGACTGTCATGTTCAAAGTGCAGATTTAGTGCTCATATTTCAATCCCCATCGAGTTCCTGATGTAATACAGGACTCGAACCCACATCAATCTCCATCGAAACTTCCTCAAACAGCAGCCTGATGCACACTATTTCACAGCAGTAAACAGTGTGTTTTACTCAGATTGGCCTAATGCCGCGAAAACAAACGCAGAGCGGATACAACGCTGCAACATGGTCATGTTCGAAATGTTCACAAATTTCCCGCGAAACCTGCCAGCAGCGCGAGACACGCTGAACACATTCAACGGTCATGTCCTCTGTCCACCAAAACACACACTCTCACTCTCTCACACACACACACAGAGAGAATAAACACACACTCGCTGCTTCTGTCAGCGTGTATACCTGTTACCCAACCCCTCACACACACACACTCCTGCGGAAAGGGCAAAGTTTCCCATCTCAGTCCAAAATGCCCGTCAGCGCACGCGTTTCCACAGACACACAACAAACCGAGCGTTTACCGTTCTCTTCTGGAAGGGTCTTGCTGAATGCTGGGCTTGGTGGGCGCCATCTTCCTGCAATTATTAATTACACTTTTTTCCTCCAGAATTCACGCGACGAGCAGCTGACAGCGGAACCGGGAGCATTTAAACAACGCCATCGGTGGTACCGGAGCGCTCGTGCCCGTGTCTCCGTGCGTTAAGACGCGTTCAGACGGGAGCGAGACCAGCCGACGCTGAGATCCAAAGGCATGCCAATAAAGTGAGAGGAAACCCGGGGACGCTCGTGAGATCCGGCGGCTGTCCTCGCGGGGTAAACGAGAGCAGGAATCAGCGCACGAGACGGGCATTTACATCACGATGTGCCTCTCGAACACAGCCGCTTTTCCCTTGTATGTTTGTCCGCATTTTCCTGCTTTTTCCTGCTTCTCTCTCCCTCTCATCTCCCTCTCCTGCCGGCGCAACAACGCCACTCAGTTGTAGTTGGAAATAGTTGGAGTTTATTGGGAATACACAGGTTGTTTCTGATGCACCAACGAAAAGATTTGCGGAAGCAAATCATGAAAGCTTTTAATCGCTTGCATTCATTTTTTTTTTATAAACATGTGGAATGATATGATTGACAGCTGTCAAAATCAAGTCAAATGCCAAGTTGAGGTTTAAATTCATTTGAGACTAATTTATTTTGAAACATATATTGTCAAGCACTGAGAGTGAAAAATAAAACGTATTTATTTATTTGATTTTAATAAAGATATTAAGAGATATCTCATATGCCAGTGTTAGATCGTCAGAAAAAAATGTCATGGTTGAAGTAGGCTATTTTTTGCACTAATGCACATTCAGTATATTATTTTATTTTTCCAAGTGATTCCGTCTTGACATTAATAAAGGCCTTTTTTCTGATGTGCATTAGAACCCGTGACCTGTCAAGGTCATGAGCTGACAGCCGCCCCATTTAATGTCCTGTTCATTGTGTTGTGCTCTAAACAGGCTGTTTAATTGAACGTGACAGTGTATGGAAGCATGTGTGCACATGATCAGTTGATTCTGCTGATATAGGCTACTAACAATCAGAACATTCTCCATTAATGCCAGTCTTCCGTCTGGCTTTATAGATGATGAAAATTAGTGTGTATTTTTATGTGGAGGAAAAAAATGAATTGCAAAAACCATATTACGCCTGACTTAATTTATATTTGTGTAAATCAGAATCACACACCATGTGGTTTAGTGGTGTTTTCTTGGCTTTGGTGTGTAAAGTTTTGAAAATATATTGGAGCTCTTTTCTAATCTACTTAAAACTATTGTGCTCGGATGGATATAAGAATTATGCATTGATTGTGCATGCATTTATCTCTTGAAATCTCTTGAAATGAATCATTTGTGCTGAAGTGAGTTTTTGTGTGCGTTGGAAAAGCCACTTTTATAATGATCACAGTCACCTTGAATGTTTAATATGCTAGAAAATATGTTTACTTGTAAGATAAACATTAAACGTCTTATTTATATTGATTAAAAAGCATAATTTGGCGTTTCTTTGCATCTCAGCGTGTGTCTGTTTTGGAATTTGACACATGGCAAAACTTTGCAGTCTTTACATCGTGTGTTGTTTTGTGAAGCAAACCCTAAATCTCACTGAAATTGAGATGTTAGTCTAAGTTTAGACTTGTAGCAACCTCCAGGGAAATCTAGTATTGCTTTATATATATAAACCTGATAACGGTGCAACGCAACAAATATGACGTGAATGGTATGAATGTCACCCTAAATGTGAAGAGGGAAAACAAAAACATGTTTTGCGTTCAGCCAGCATACCTTTGTTGGTAAGACGTCAAGCCTTGGACGTTTTGCGGATTCCCGTTAGTAGCTCCCGGGACCCTGGACGCAGCCGGCATCCCTCCACCGGCTCCCGGACCTGCAGCCGCCGCCGCCGTCACCTGAACACTGAAATCCGGGAAGATCCTGATCATCCCCGAGCGCGCACCGCGATGCTGCACCAACCGAGTGTGTGTGGATCAACCTTCCCTCCGGTCCGACAAATCACAGCAGCACAATCCCATTAGTGATGGAAACAAGCTCATCAGCCATTCTACGTCTTGTTTTCTGCTTTCAGAAGAGAGAACCGTTGCTTTTACAGGGTTGGCGATGATGATGAGGATGATGATGGTGGTGCTCGTAGACTGCCGCCTTCTTTGCGCGTCCTGTGCGCTTTTACGCGTAAAAGTTTCAAGCGCTCCAAATGTTTTAAAAGTGAACTTCCTTAAAACCTCATCATTTAACCATCTCCTCCGATATATGAAAGTTCTGACTGTCTCTATATGGAAATTCGGACAAATAATTAGGGTCCGTTGTCAGTTTAGGAAACTTACCATAAAGTGACACACTAACTCCTAAAATCTTAAATCAAAGTACCCTGATATTATTTCAACTTTAAAACGCATATGCCTTTTAGTTTTAGTAGTTGAATGTACAGCTACAGGCTTGAACAGAAATGAAAACGCACGTGCAACACTTTCCTTCTAGTGTGAAGGAATGCGTGCGTTATAAATAACCGAGAACTTTTTTTATCAGTCCGGTGTGTCCTGAAAAAGCTCTACTGATTGAGATCAGAGATAGCTGTCCATTCCCAGTGCGTGTGGTTTAGGAAACAGATCTAAGTATGTACGCGAGGAAAGTCCAGTGCATGATGTGATCTGCTCGCCTCCTGCTGTTGTGATGATGATGTGCTACTGCTTTCAGTGATCAGCTTCTTCTTCTTCTGGTGCTGATGCTGCGCAGGTCAGGTGCTGCTGTCAGAATCAATGTCTAAAGCTGATGGGATGTTTGCTGTGTGCATGCTCCTGGTGTGTTGTGTTGTGTTGCCCTGCTGTGTGTGGCAATGCCATCTCTATAACGCGTGCGAGGAGATGAGCTCAGCCGCTCGTGCAGCTGATTAACGGCGCGCGCCGCCGCCGCGCAGCCAATGGGACGCTCACACGGGAGCGCGCAGCGGTTTACTGCAGCAGTTAACCCTTTATGAGCCGAATGACGAGGACCAGGAGATTAACAGCTGACACATGATGCAACTGTAAGGTCAATCATACTCCGTGAACTTAAGTTATAATGCAACACTATGTTGATTAGAATTCAAAACATGGGAAAATAAAAAGCTAAACAATGAAATTAGGCTACATTAGCTACACATCCATTGATCCATATCAATTCAGTGGCTATTTGAAAGAACAATAGCAAATGTAGTTTTCAAGTAAAGAGTTTTCCTCTAAAGAAGTTTTTCATTTTGACGTCTTACAATCATCCATTAAAAAGAACTGGGTAACACGTTACAATAAGGTCTCATGTATTAATGTAATAACTAACATAAACTAACAATGAGCAATACATTTTGTATTTTTATTTAATCTTTGTTAATGTTAGTTAAGAAAAATACAATCGTTCATTGTTTGTTCATGTTAGTTCTCAGTGCATGAATAACTTATGTTAACAAATTCAACATTTGATTTGAATGATGTATTAGATAAATGCTGAAATCAACATTAAATAAGATTAATACATGCTCATCTAGAAGTATTGTTCATTCTTCATTTTAACTAAAGTAGTTAACTAATGAAACCTTATTGTAAAGTGTTACCAAGAAATGTTGAGCAAAAATGGCTGAAAATGTGCAGAATTTGAGCAGATACAGATTTAACTGATATTTTGTTAACATTAATACATTTTAAAATGTCATATAATGTCATATATTTTACATTGCTTTAACTCATCAAAATAAGTTAAGCAATTTTCAACTTTTTTTAAGTTATACAAGATTCAACTCATATTTTAAGTCAGTTTAATGTAATTTAAGTTGAAATGACATAAAAATCCAAGTTGATTGTACTTAAACAATTTAAGGCAGCAACTTAGTTTTTCAGTGTTGGTTTTAGAAAGTTTTCTTTAGCTCTTGTGCAATACAATTATGTATAGTTTCTTGTAGTAGGCTATGATATATTAGACATGTAATCAGTATATTTGGTTTCAGCATGATAAGCTGCTGAGGTTTTCAGAGAGAATTGTAGGCTATAATTTTGCAGAATTAAGTAGAAAGGTGGTTTGGTTTACAAACAAATGGAGAAAGTTTGCTCATGAAAAATCACTCTCTCTGTGCAAACAAAATGATGTTGACTGAGTTTTGAGTGTCTCCTATTCAATTTCATGTTTGTCTGAAGAAAATTACGCACTTTACACACGAGCAGATGCAAGAGCAGAAGAAGAAATGAAATGAGGACTCGGAGAAAGGCAGAATGTTTAATTGTGCGACGGTGGGCGCGTGGTGTTGGTAAGTTGCTCCTCATTGACTCCTCTGCTCTTGAACTGTCACTGTTGTGAAAGTGATTGAGTGTTAACCAATAAAATATTCCAAAATGCAAATATTGAGCTGCGTCCACATCAACACTCATGAATCTTCTACTGTAGTTCACTTGTCCTTTGATAAACCAAAGACGGCTATCTGAATAGCTTTATGGCATTTTTTATCAAACATTTGCAGCTTATTAATGATCTCAGTGTGGACATACACCAACCTTTGAAATCAGCAGGAAGTCCTTGAAACGAAACCGTCGGATATCTATAAGTTACAGCAGATTTGTAATTGTCAGTGAGCATATTTACATGTGATGCATTAGTACAGAATGTCAAGTGAGACGATATGACAGAGGAAAAGTTCTCAGCTGCTTCATTGATGCATCGGCTTTGTCTCAGGGGTTTCTTCTTAAAAAAACCTTACAAAAAATAAGTATACTTCAAGTTCATTTTACTTTACTTAGGTCATTTTAGTTCACTTAGGTAAAGTACAAGTATATTTTTTAAGTACACTTTACGTAGTAAGTAGTATACTAATATCAATGTACTATTCATACTTTTTTCAAAACTATTTAAGAACTAATTTGGCTTACTTTTTAGTGTATAAAAGTATACTTTTAGGTATACTTCAAGTGTAACAGTAGTAAACTTTGAATGCACAACTACAACTACGTTTTTCATTTGCCAACTACAAGTGAACTTATAGGTATACTGATAGTTTTACTAGCACATTTTTAGTTTATGAAAGTATACTGAAGTATTCTCTCAGTAAACTACTAGTTTTATACTTGCATTTAAGTATACTACTGATAGAAATGATTCTGTGGTGAAGTACAGAAAAAACAAATGTAATTTCTACCTGAATAAGTTAGTTCAGGCAAGAATAAAAAAAAATTCAGTACTCAATTTAAGCTTATTAAAGCATAAATATCAACGTTATAAAATTAAGTAAAACCTACTAAAATTTCTAATACTGGTGTTCCCATCATGCACTGGGGCATGAATAATTAATAAGGTTGATTCTTCACTGTTTTCCAGCTGTATTTACACAGTTTTATCATTGCTTTTGTTGTTAGGTTTAGTAGATGTTAGTTTTGCAACATCTGGAGTTCATTTTCTACTCAAATGATCCAATGAATGTTACCGTTACTGTGTATTGTGTACCAAGTATTGAGATCTCTGTGTTCCTGTGGGTACACATTTATTCTATTACGTTTTATTGTCTACATGTATTATTCATTTGAATGTTCTAAGTAAAGCATACACTTTAAAAGTGTGGTTTAATTTAGTGTTATATTGTTTAATGTAGTAAAATGTACTTGAAACAGAGTGTTGCAAAGTAAACTTCAACTAAGTAGCTAGCTTGAATGGCCGAGTTAAAGTTATTTATTTTCTTTGTTAATTTTACTTCACTTAGTTAAGTAGATTTTACTTAATTCCATATGTGTAATTTACTTTAAAAATCTGCGTGCAAAAACTTGCATAAGTACATTTTACTAATCTTTTTTTTTTTTCAGTGTATGTTCCTATTTAGGTATACATTTATACTAGAGATATACCTTTAAATGCACTTTCCCTGCCAGAGAATTTTAATAGGCTACTCAATCAAAAGAGTAAACAAAACTACAAGCCAAGTATACTGATAAATACATATCTTGATCAAAAGATTGAGTACAAGTATAAGCCAAATATACCTGGCCCTATTTTAACCATCTAAGCGCATGGTCTAAAGCGCACAGCGTAAGTGCACTTAGGGCGTGTTCGAATCCACTTTTGCTAGTTTAACGACGGGAAAAATGGTCTAAAAGAGTTGTCCCTATTCTCTTAATGGGTAATGGGTGTGTTTTGGGCGTAACGTGCAATAAACCAATCAGAGTCTCATCTCCCATTCCCTTTAAATGCCAGTTGCGCTCGCGCCATGGCGGATTCGCTATTTACGTGACGAAATTTGATAGTGGAAAGACCGAACGCGTCTCCAGAGAGGGAACGGATCTGCTCGTGCGCGAGGTAAAAGTGCGCAAGCAGAACATCTACGGGACAAGCCGGATTCCACCAAATATTTATGTACACAATAATAATCTTTTACTTTGTAATTCTTTTATTTTTAATATTTTGCATGTTTGTGTGCTGCTGCGCGTCCCTGTGTGTGTGTAATAAGCAGAGTGTACGCGCGTTGTGACCCGCCTATAGGCGCACATTACTAACGCGCTCTTTAAATAACAAAAAACTTTAGACCAGGTTTTTGTTGGTCAATCGTTTTCAGACCAGCACGCCCATGGGTGCACAGATGGGCGCAAATGCATTTGCTATTTAAACAACATGACGCAGGATGTGAACGTGGCGCATTTTTCCGTGATTAAACCCGATGTGAAAAATGATAACTGCGTCGGGCTGAAACTAGCAAAAAACACTTGCTGCATTGCGCTGGGTGTAAGATAGGGCCCTTAGACTTTTCTGTTAGTATAAGTCAAGTATACGTAAGTGCAATTTTAAATATATTTCTGTGCATAAAAAGTAGACTTCCTTATTTTTTATTTAGAAGAAGTATACTAAGAGCACACTTGAATAAACTTCTTTTTTGTTAGGGAACCCAACAAAATAAAATCGAAATAGACACAAATGAGACAATTGTTGAGAAACGGTAAGAGAGCAGTAAAATGAATGTGAATAGCAGCACAGATCATTTAATGAGAAATGTGTGAGTTCATATGTTGAGATTGAGTTTATAGCTTTGATTTCTTGGCAAATTTCGGGATCTCAGTTGAGATCTCCTCTGAAGCTCTAGGAGAGGATTTCTAGTTTTTTTTTTTTTTTTCTTCCTCAGGAGAAACATCGGAGAAGCGTCACCACTGCTCTCAGTGAATCTCACTGCTGTCTATCAGAAATTTCTGAGCTATTAAAGAGATCTGATCTGTGGGAAGGAATGTGGCACGGGTCCCCATAATCGCTCTGTTGTGTACAGTTTTAAAGAGAGAACGTTTTATTCTCTGTCTCCTTTGAAATGAAAAATACTCCCTCAGATTATCAGCGCACATGATTAAATAGCAATAAAGATGCACTCAGTGCTTCACCTGGGACAGTAAATGGAAAAAGCTCTCTAATAAAACAGCCTTAACAAACAAGACAGCGGAGGGCCTTCTCTTCAGGGCTGCTTCTCAGCGATGGAATCAAATAGAATAGATTGCACTGGAAGCTTTAAACCGACACTGCAGCTCCTAATACAATTAGATTAACGCTGTCTTCTGTTTACTTCCCTGGGTATTTGCAGTGGTCTGTATTGCATTTATTTGTCTACAGTGCTCTGCTAAACTACATGAGACAGATCCGGGGCAGCGTGAGCCTCCCACATCACGGCGCTACACGGGTGGTGCGCGTTCTCTTGAGGAAGGCTTTGGCAATCGATATTATATTCCTCTGCCAGGAACACAGAGTGTTGTTAAAAGACAAGCAAGATTATAAGAGAAGTACACTTATTGTGAAGAATCGCAAAGTTGTAAAATCACAAAGTCAGGGAAAATTTGTTGTTCGGGAGTTGCTCTTTCTGAGCTCTCAGTTATGTTTCATTGACA